AATTGTTTCCCTGGGGCTTTTAGATAAGATATCTCTTGTTAAAACCGGCCATGAAAGAGTCTCGTCATTGTTATCTAAACTAGACGCTTTTGATTCTTTCAATTCCCAGAAGTCTTCGTAGGTGTACGACTCGTTATCAGCTTGCAATAAATCCTGTATATCGCTGGCATCATCTTCTTTGAACCCCACTTCCTGTGTCATTTGTACAAGGCTATTCAAGATGGAGACTGGTTTATTTTCTATTCCAGCCGTTCGAAAACTTTTTTTTCTTCTTCTATTATCCTGAAATGTTCTGACTTTCTAAAAAGAAAAAAAAAGTCTGAATTTTTTAAAAGAATAAAAAGAAGACACTTAGCCAAGAGGTTCGTCTCGTGAATTTGGTTACGTAGGAGTTCAGTCCTTGGGCCCAGCACACACCTGACAATAATTATTCACACTTAAAAGATGTTCACTTAGATTTCTTTTTATTTAACAGTAAGTAAACTAATAATAGATAAAACAGAAAACATTTTAAAATAGCCGAGCATTCTGGCTTCAAGAAATATAACTTTAAATAGGTGTTGGGTTGTTAAAAGAATTCCTTGTTTTTTCCAATATGATTTGAATTAACACGTAAAAATTCTTACCGTAGAGTTTTATTGTTTTTTTTTGTAGCTATATTACTCTTCAAGTCTTGTTTGGCGTTTCATATTATTCATTGAGTTGTTTAAATTGTTCATGAATAAATAGAATTAAAATAACCTGTAAAAACGAATGAGTTTATCTGATAAACCAATCGATTAATTTATTTAAATTAATGGTATATTGTTTTCCAAGCTATGTTTCCTGCTTAGTATTGAGTTTCCGGTTCCTTCTAAATTCTACTTCAACTCTCCAGGATTTATCAACAATACTTTTACAAACATTAAGGGCTGGTTCCCCACACCAAGACAAGGACAAAAGTCCATATAAACATATGTCCGCAAATCCTTCATTTTTTAAGTTTAAAGAGAGTTTAAGGTAGATGGTACTGTGTTACCATGTAGACTAGATTACATTTGTCATTCGTGTACATTTGTAGCTAGACTGATTTCAACGTTTAACGTCTTTAGTAGTGAGTTAACGGAGAAGTGTTCCGTTGAACCATGGCAGGATATTCATATCGTGTGCAGCCAGATATGATTTTTTTTACAAACGGCCTCGTGAATGATAATGGACGCGAGGCTGCACAACTGTATCAGATTGCGTTTCCAGACTGAAGCTAGCCGAGTCATCCAACCTTTTTTTGCTGTTTATCGTCGCGTTGCTGGGACAGGATCCGTGACACCACAAAATATGAATCGGGTATGACTGGTTGTATATTTAATAGCGTTTGCCGTAAAGTATTTGCAGGCATATGTTTATCTTCATTTTTGTCATTGTTTTTGGTGTGAGGAAGCCGCCTGTATAAATCTAACTTCTCCGGCTAAACTTTGTAATTTTATTTACTATTGTTTTTTTACTTTTATTTTCCACAGTAGGAGGAGATAGGTTAACCTATCGGCCGGTTCACACTCCTCCCTGGTCTTTGGAACAGGAGTAGAAGTTTCATTATTTACATTATTCGGACTATTGTCCTCATCTTTGTCGCCATATTTATTACAACGCCATTGTACGCTGCGACCTTTTTCAGCTGGTTGGAATGTCGAACTGTGGATAAAGGCGTTTGTTAGATCCTGTGACAGGACCCAAAGAGTCCGAGTTCAGTACCCGGTTAAGGCAGTGGAGAACTTGCAGAGGGGAATTAACAGGAAATAACTGAAAACTGACACCCATTAAACGTGGAACTAGAACAGTCTACCCCAGTGAGCGAAATAAAGGGTTCATTTCGATATTCCAACCACCTGAAGAAGGTCAGGGCGTACAACGGCCGAAACGTTGTAATAACTATGGCGACAAAGATAAGGACAATAGTCTGAATAATGTAAATAGTGTACATAATACCTCATCTCAGAAATATAGACAGATACCGAAGGACCGAAACATTGTAATAAATATGGCAACAAAGATGAGGACAATAGTCCGAATAATGTAAATAGTGTACATAATACCTCATATCAGAAATATAGACAGATACTGAAGGACCGAAACATTGTAATAAATATGGCAACAAAGATGAGGACAATAGTCCGAATAATGTAAATAATGTACATAATACCTCATCTCAGAAATATAGACAGATACTGAAAGGCCGATACGTTGTAATAAATATGGTGACAAAGATGAGGAAAATAGTCCGAATAATGTAAATAGTATACATAATGCCTCATCTCAGAAATATAGACAGATACTGAAGGACCGAAACATTGTAATAAATATGGCAACAAAGATGAGGACAATAGTCCGAATAATGTAAATAGTGTACATAATACCTCATATCAGAAATATAGACAGATACTGAAAGGCCGAAACGTTGTAATAAATATGGCGACAAAGATGAGGGCAGTAGTCCGAATAATGTAAATAGTGTAACCTCATCTCAGAAATATAGACAGATACTGAAGGGCCGAAACGTTGTAATAAATATGGCTACAAAGATTAGGGCAATAGTCCGAATAATGTAAATAGTGTACATAATACCTCATCTCAGAAATATAGACAGATATTGAGTAGAAGTTTATCCCTTGTTTCACGTTTAGGATTGGGCTTCCGCTTCGTTCTAAAAGTCTACTGCAACTCTATAGTTTTTTAAAAAATCAATTCACCCTCAAGCAAGGTTGCCACTAAGACGCAAGAAGCTATTGGGGGTGAAGGAGAATGGGAAGACTTTAGACAGGAAAAGAAGCCCAATCCTAAACAAACAAACAAGGTATAAACTGTCATTCGCGTTACAAAGTCCGGGGAGGAGTGTGAAACGGGTGATAGAGGAACCTATCTACTTTTAATGTATCCGCATAAACTGTGAAATTTATACTACTATTGGATTTCCGGTTCCTTCTAAACTCTTTACTTTCTGTTTCATGCCTTTTTTTTTGGAGGGATGTCTCAATTTCAGTTCCAGAGGACACATTGCCCATTGGATAAAAGCATTGGTTGAAGTTATCCAAAAAAGGGTCTTGACCCACAGCAGAGGTGAACAAAATCTTGGAGAGTTGAGTTACTAAAGGAAATTAACTGAAACTGAGATATTCAGAAAAGGCGTGGCATGTGGAACTAGAACTATCTAAAGGTTTCGGTTCGAAATTCCCACCTATATCACCTGAAGAAGACTGGAGCGTACAACAAGCCGAAACGTCGTGAATGTGGCAATAAAACCGAGGATAACAGTTCGAACGATGTAAGTAGATACAAATACCTCATCTCAAAAATATAGACAGATCCTGAAGAAGGCCGGATTGTACAACGGCCGAAACGTCGCGAATTTGTCAATAAAGATGAGAACAATAGTTCGAAATATGTAAATAGTATAAATATATAAAATATCATAGTTTGTTGTGCCACGGATCCTGTCTCAGTAACGCTATAATAAACTATAGCAGTCTGATACAGCCGTGCAGCCTCGCGTCAATTACCATTCGCGTGGCCGTATGTAAACCTCATATCTGCCTACTTATATATGAATATCCTGCCGTTGTTACGCCTGACCATAGAGAACACATTCTACAGGCTGTCGGAGACGAAGGACACAAGTGGACCTAGCATGTTGTACATCTCATAGTACCTTATGAAGGGTACTTCGGGAACAGCTGATGTGTCTGTATCATTTGCAACGTGTGCAGGGTCTTTCGCTCTCTGATCCCTCACCACAGGAGAACTTTTGACGATGGTGTATTGCACAAACTGCCAATCCGTTGTTTGTGTCTTCAGTATTGTTTACGGATGAGGCAACATTTGGAAAAGATGGAATAACAAATTTACATCATCAACATTTTTGGACGGATTGGAATCGTCATTGTATAATACAAGCTAGACACCAGCATCAGTTTACAGTTAATGTGTGGGCTGGAATTGTAGGTGACTGTCTGGTAGGTCCATATGTTTTCCCAGCACGTCTTGCAGGAGCTGTCTACAGGGACTTTATTTCAAACAGACTTGCTAGAGGATGTACCCCTACTAATACGAAGACGCATGTGGTTTATGCATGATGGGGCTCCAGCATATTTTAGTCATATTGTTCGCGATGCACTGGCTGACATCAAACCATGAAAGATGGATAGGTAAGGAAGGACCGGATCAATGGCCGGCACGTTCCTCCCGATCTTAATCTTTCTTTCTATCTATGGGGCAACCTAAAAGGATTGGTTTATGCAGCAGACATTAATAATTCAGAGACACTCGAACGTGTCATGGGGACTTGTAAAACCATTCGATACTGTGTGGGAGTATTTGAAAGGGTCCGCCAGTCAATGATCCGACGGGTGAATGCATGTGTAGAATCAAGCCGAAGACATTTGGGACATTTGTTATGAGTTGCTTTGTTGATGTACAATGATCGGCTTTTAGACATGTTTATATGGACATTTTAACTTGTTTAGGTGTGAGTAACCCACTCCCAAAGTTTGTAAAGCATTTTTGATACACCACACACACACACACACACACACACACACATATATATATATATATATATATATATATATATATATATATAGAATTTAAAGAACTTGAAGACTAGTTAAACCTACCTAGGTTTCACATACGCGGATCATCAGGGTACACTGGCTACGTGAAACCCAGGTAGGTTTGCCTGGCTCTTTTTAGGTTCATAGTTATATTTGCTCTAGTTAGTGTATTGATCACTTTATTTAGTTACTTTTGCTTAACTCGTGTTGGAGGTTTTATTCTTTGTATTCTGAGCTTGGATTCTGGACGATTGTTTTCGCCTGAATTACATGTTCTTAGTTCTTTCTTTTTTTATCCCTTATTTTTCCTTGGGTATTGGTTTGTTCATTTACAAGCCAAAACACCTAAGGTTTTTCCAGACGAGTATAATTACTTATATATATATATATATATATATATATATATGTTGAGAGAGGGACGGAGAGAGAGAGAGAGAGAAGAGAGAGAGAGAGAGAGAGGCTGTAATCGGCATCAGATAGCATTAAATGTTTAGAGGAACGACGGTAGAAAATAATGAAGATGTGCCAATAATCATGATAGGCAAAATAAAATAAGACGAAAATAAAATAAAACGAATTAAGAACAAAAATAAAAAGATAAAATAATAAATGAAAAACGAATAATTCAAATCTAAAAATTAAAAAAAAAACAAAACAAAAAAAAAACCCAATATGTTTTCTTCCGATTAAAATCCCGTCAATATAAAAAGCGATAATTGCGTTCAGAAGATATTGGCGGGAATGTTTCGTAATCATTGCAAAATGTGCCTTGAGCCAAAATGAATTCCAAGTAGCAAGGATTCCGTTTCTCTTTGCTTCTTAATAGCCATTCCATTGTTTGAGCGCTTTCGAAGTTAGTTTTCGCTTGAAGATGTTAAATTTAGTTATTAAGCACACAATACATAGACTTATTTTAAAAATTAATTTGATTACCCAAGATTTTAGTGAATTTACTCGTAAATTTTACATCGTCAGTAATATTGCATCTTTATCTATAAAAGACAGGATGTGCGTGTGCATGTGTGTGTAACGAATGCACGGCCGCAATTTTCGACGGATTTGCACCAAAATTTACATGCACATGCACCAAGTTAGCGGCATTGCATTTCCCAACTCCCATCGATAGTGGACATAATCGATTTTTTCATGCTTCTACGGCAGTTTTCATGTAGTTTGCGGCCAACAGCTGACTGACACGAATGTTAACTACCATGCCAACATGCAAAAAAAAATCGATAGCTGCATTCGTCACAAGTGGGAAAAGTTTAAATTTGCATGGGACTCTACTCCAATTGGCTCATTCGCTTGCTTAAACTCAACGTTGATTCTGATTCCGCAGAACTGGGTTGGGTGTGAAAAAGTATTTGTTGTTATTCTTTTTTTATTCGGTTTTTCCATTTACGTGTCCTTTTTAAAGCTGATCGTTTTGTGTTCATTTTGTTTAGTTCTTTTTCGTAACAGATTTAATGTTTAGTATAGAGCTTAGAAAAATTTCGCAGTGTGAGATAGGCAAGAAGTAAGGCATGTAGCAACATCAGCACGGCAAAGGGCACTCCTTTAAAGGCAAGGAAGGGCAAAAATATTTTAAGTCAAGTGATAGCGATTGCTGTATGAGTCGTACGATTTTTGAATCAAGCACGGGCAACGCCGGGCCATGCTGCTAGTCATTTATAAATATCTAATTAGCTTAGACTGTTCTGATATAACGACACGACGGCGTTCGGTATCACTGTAGTTTAGTTATGGTAAAAGAGATGAGATAATTAAGTACGACTGCTCTACGATTTTACAGAGTGTTGGTTCCTCTGGTTCATGCAACATTATGCAACGTCCCAATTGTATATGTCTGTCAAGTGTTAGAGAAGACAAAGAATGGAATAGTGGTGTAATATCTGAATTAGCATTGTTCTGTCTACACCAGCCATGGCGAAACTGCGGCTTGCTAGTAACATGTGGCTCATTTGGTCTTTCAGAATGGTCCGCTTAATTTCATAAGCCAAAATAAAGCTTCTTAGTTTGTTTTTCTTTCCTTCTCACTTGTTCACTCACACACTCTCTCATACATAACCACATAAATAAACAATGATTAAGTACAATGTTTCTTGAAGTTTGTAATCTTTCAAGGAAACTAACGTTGTCAGCAATTTTAAACCAATGGCGATTTTCACTAAGGAAGATCATACGTGTAAACATCGTTTGTTTTTGGAATAGGAAACGTTCATAAATTTTTTTCTTTAAAGAAGAAATGATTTCATTTTCAAATGAATAAATTAGAAATACATCTCACTCAGCGACATGTGGTGATCCCACTGAAACATATTATGACTTTAATCTAATTATAAAAAAAAAATATTATATATATATAAAAAAAACAACTTTCCTCCCATTTCTAACGCATATGGTCTTCCATAGTAAAAGTAGCTGGGATATATTTTACAAAAAATTACCTTGAATCTTTTTAGTAATGGGGCCCACTTTGTGATGATACATAGATCATGTGGCTTACTGATTGAACGAAAAATGTTGCCCATGTTTAGTTTAGACTTTAAAACCAGGAGAGAGTTCAAAATCATGTGAACGGTATTGCAGAGGAAGATATGGCAGCCTCTACAGTCTCTTTCTAAAAGACGAAATACTCTAAGCTTATGTCTACTCCATCAATATTTTTAGAGAAAATGTTTAGATGGATATAATGCATTTCTAAAGAAAATAATTCGCAATTGATTTTTATAGTAAATCATTTTTAATGCATTTTTATAGTAATTCATTTACAATGCATTTTATAGAAAAATCCTTTGCAATGCATTTTTATTGAAAATCATTTGCAATGCATTTTTATAGTAATTCATTTGCAACACATTTTTATAGTAAATCATTTGCAATGCATTTTTATAGTAAGTCATTTGCAATGCATTTTTATATTAAATCATTTGCAATGCATTTTATAGTAAATCATTTGCAATGCATTTTATAGTAAATAATTTACAATGCATTTTTATAGTAAATCATTTGCAATGCATTCTTATAGTAAATAATTTACAATGCATTTTTATAGTAAATCATTTGCAATGCATTTTATAGTAAATCATTTGCAATGCATTATCATAGTAATTGATTTATAATGCATTTTTATAGAAAATCATTTGCAATGCATTTTTATAATAAATGACTTGCAATGCATTTTTATAGTGAATCATTTGCAATGCATTTTCATTGTAAATCATTTCAGTGCATTTTTATAGTAAATCATTTAAAATGCATTTTTTAAGTAAATCATTTGCAAGGTATTTTTTATAGTAAATCATTTGCAATACATTTTAATAGTAAGTCATTGACAATGCATTTTTATAGTGAAATCATTTCCAATGCATTTCTTATATTGATCTCGAGGTTCTTGACAAAATCGAAGGAAAGATCTGTATTATAATCGATCCTAACTTGTCATCTCAACTTCAGTCATTTTCTCACCGACCTAACGTGACTTCACTCTGTCTTTTCGACAAATAATTTCATGGCAACTTCTCTGACGTTCTTTTTCTCCCTGGTTTTCGGACTGCATGAATTTAAACGCGCTGTTAGATTGGCAACTGACTCCTACCCGTGTACGGTTAAAATAGCTAAATGTAGCCGTCACTTCTACTCCAATAATTTGATTTATCGCACTTCCCACTTCCTTTCGTTTACTTATTTCCTTATAACTAAAATCTTCAAAAATTAATGCAACATCAATTGCCATATTCTCTCTTCTTGAAAACTGCTCAGATTTTATCCTATCCCCACCCCCCTCTACCCGGCCATTTCTCTCGCTTCCATTGCCTTAAACCTCTTAGGTGCTAGCGTTATTTCCGCCTTGGATGGGGTGAAATGATTAACAAATCTCATTTACAATGCATTTGTATTGCAAATCCTTTTCAATGCATTTGTATATTAAATCAAGCGCAATTTATTTTTATAGTAAATAATTCGGAATGCATTTTTACAGCAAATCATCTGTAATTCATTTTTATATTAAATCATCTGGAATGCATTTTATAGTAAATCATTTGCAATGCATTTTTATAGTAAACAATTTGGATTGTATGTTATTGTAAATTATTTACAATTTATTTTCATAGTAGAACATTTACAATGCATTTTTATAGTAAATCATTTGCTATGCATTTTTATAGTAAATCATTTACAATGCATTTTTATAGTGAAATCATTTGCAGTGCATTTTGATAGTAAATCATTGCCAGTTCATTGTTATGCTAAATAATTTGGAATGAATTTTATAATAAATCATTTAGAATTCATTTTTATAGTAAATCATTTGCAATGCATTTTTATATTAAATCATTTGTAACGCATTTTCATAGTAAATCATTCCCAATACATTTTTATATTAAATCATTTGCAATGCATTTTATAGTAAATCATTTGCAGCTTATTTTTCCGATTACATCCATTTGTAGCGTTCACAATTTTTCTCATGCGATGAGTTAACCTTCGTAAGACTTGTCAGTTGGTTGATTTCCGATCATGCGCATGAACTACTTACTCCATATCGTCCATTGTTCTTGGGTGTGTAATATCAGTCTTGTTTTGTCAGCATGCATTTAGCTGAGTGCTTCATGTTCTTTTATTTCTTTATTCTTATAACAATTTTTTTTCTAGATTGGCGAGAATTGGAAGCGTGCAAAAAGTGAATGTAAATCTTTATTGTCGGTTTTCATTCTCAAGATGACATTTGCTCCGTTTGTAAATGCACTTGTGATGATTTACGAATAGAATGTGTAACAACTGATTTACACTGAAAATAGATTACCTTTACAATAGAAATTTATAGAAAATGATTTATTCTAAAAAATATCTTTGAAAATGATTTTCATAGAAAATAGTTTGGAGTGCATTTTTATAGTAAATTATTTCCAATTTATTTTTATATTAAATCAGTTAGAATTCTTTTTTTATTAAATCATTTAGAATGCATTTTATAGTAAATTATTTACACAGCATTTATCTAGTAATAAATTTGGAATGCATTTTATAGTAAATCATTTACAATTTACTTTTATAGTAAATCATTTACAAAGCATATTTATAATAAATCATTTGCAATGCATTTTGTACAAAATCATTTACAGTGCTTTTTTTAATAGTAAATCATTTACAATGCATTTTTATAGTAAATCATTCGCAATGCATTTTTATAGTAAAACATTTACAATGCATTTTTATCGTAAATTATTTACAATGCATTTTTGCAGTAAATCATTCGCAATGCATTTTTATAGTAAAACATTTACAATGCATTTTTAGAGTAAAACATTTACAATGCATTTTTATAGTAAATTATCTGCAATGCATTTTATAGTAGAAAAAATTTGTAATTCATTTTATATTAAAAATTTATTGTAACTAATTTATAAAATGCATTGAACATTATAATCTCTAAAATCGCTTTGTACTTGGTAAATGTCAAATTATTTACTATAAAAATG